CAGTGACAACGTGATGTCCATTGCAACTATTTCTTCTAATCTTAGTAGTTGCTGAATTAAATAGACTTTAATCAATGTCACTGGCAGTATGTGTGCACTGCGAAGTATTATTAGCACACTAAATCAATTTTCGAGCATGTATGCAGTAAGAAACCTACTTGTAGATTGTGGCATTATCAAAAGTCCAACATAGCTGGCTACTAGTCTAATCTGCCCATTGATAGTACCTAAAAAGGGGCCCATACAAAACGATGTCAGCAAGCGGGACTAAGCATGACACATTTCCGACATACTGACACAGGTGGCTCAAGACCTGCATCTTTTGTTAGCAGTAAACTAACTAAAGCTTATGACTGACAATTTCTTCGGATCCACACCGGATCGCCTACAGCGGAAAACCAGGTCACAAGATTTTGCAATACCACAGACAAAAGAACAATGAAAATACTGCACGCAAAATATAATATTTATATATGCAACATTAAAATTTATAACTTATCATGTATAATATATAATATCTAATATTATATAATATATAATATTTAATGTATAATATATAACATATAACATATTACTCGTATATACAGGGTGGCGCAGAGGAAACGCATGTTTTCTGACCGAATGGTATTTCGCACAGAATAGGGATATGACCTCGCCGCACCGCCAGCAGAGAACACATGCGATGCAGTTTCAGCCATGGCACCGTGGATGACGGAGAATCGTGTGTTTGCCGTCGAGCAATTTTTTCGAAACGATGATTCTGTAGTGATCGTGCAACGTTGATTCCGTCGACAGTTCAATGTTGAACGCCACGGGCCAATTCCAGATCGAAACACACTACTCCGATGGGTTGAAGCATTTCGAAGTACTAGATCCGTAATGAAGAGGAAGCCACCTGGCCTTCCCCGTACCGTGCGGACTCCAGGCAATATCGAAACAGTGAGAAGAGCGGTCCTTGATAGTCCCCAACGGTCCACTAGGCGCCAAGCTCCAACTCTGCGTATGTCCCGTCGGTCGTTACAACGCATTCTGCATGACGATTTACAATATCATCCGTACAAGATAATGATCGTGCAAGAGCTAACGGAAAGCGATTTTGCACAGCGTAGAGAATTTTGTGCGAGAATGCGGGCCATTTTTGCTGACGATCCTGACGTCGTCATAATGATGAGTGACGAAGCACACTTCCATTTAACAGGATATGTAAACAAGCAGAACTGTAGGTATTGGGCGGCCGAAAATCCACGAGAGCTACACCAACGACCCTTGCATAGTCAAAAATTAACTGTGTGGTGCGGAATCAGTAAATTAGGTATCGTTGGTCCTTACTTTGTTGAAGAGGAAGAAAGAGCAGTAACAGTTACTTCAGCACGTTATGTTCACATGTTACAAAATTTTCTGTTACCCGAACTTCAACGGCAACAAGTAAACATGGGAGAGCTGTGGTTCCAACAAGACGGTGCCACAGCTCACACAGCGAGAGCATCAATGGAATGGATTCGACAGATGTTTCCTGAACATGTGATTTCCCGTTTCGGCGATGTCCCTTGGCCCCCACGCTCCCCAGATTTCTCCGCATGCGACTTCTTTTTGTGGGGTTACCTTAAGGATAAAGTGTACCCTCACAAGCCTCGTACGTTACAGGAACTGAAAATTGCTATTCGTCAAGAAATTGCAAGAATACCACAAGAAATGATTTTACGTGTAATGCACAACTTTCAAGAGCGGTTGGAGATGTGCGAGCGCGAAGCAGGGCGACACTTGAGTGACGTTATTTACCATCATTAGTTTAAAAGTGCACTATCATTACTTTATTTAGCTGTAACTGAAACAAAGTTATCTTGAAAATAAAAAATGTTATGCTTAGGTGAAAATCGTGCGTTTCCTCTGCGCCACCCTGTATAATATTATAAATGAGAAAGTGTCGATCACAATTGCAGAACGGAGCTGGACGGAATTTGGTACAGAGAGAGAGATAGATTATAATCTGAAGTAGCACATAGGCTAATTTTTATATATCGGAAAAATATATAGGGTTGGCCATATTCGACGAAAAGATGTGGCAACACTGTAACTTTTGACAGATGACAGATCGAGTAATGACGTAGCGCGTTTGAAGCATCAGGCTAAGGAGATTTTTGCAATGGAGCAGTACACTCCACGCGAATGCTCTCAGATTGTTGAAATTTACATTCAACAAAACAAGTCAATTGTGAAAACTCAACGTGCATGGAGGAAGATAAATAAACTGAAAACTGCGCCTTCCGCGACTACATTGTATCGTTTGTATGAAAGATTTTCATCAGGTGAGGCACTTACTAATCTCTAGCGTCCAAATAAAAATCGACCAAGACGATCGGATGAAAATATCGCACTCCTACGGATCAGTGTTCAGAGGTCTCCAACATCTCAAACACGTCGATCTGAGCAGTTGGGCATAACACGAACCACTTTACGTCGCATATTGCGTCATGATTTGCAATTGTTCCCATACAAAATTCAACTGAACGCAAAATCTGTTACCTGCCGATAAGCCACGTCGATTGGAATGGGCCCAAAGAGTCATCGAAATGGTTGAACGTGACGATCATTTTTGGCAAAAAATCATCATGAGCGATGAATACCATTTCATGTTAACCGGAACCGTAAACAAACAAAATTGTCGGTTCTATGGTACTGAAAATCGTCAAATTATTCACGAGGTACCCTTTTGTGACCAAAAAGTGACTGTTTGGTGAGGTACTTTTTTTACATCGAAGCAGCCGCGCAGGTACGACCTAAGTGAGTAAGGGTATATAATAAATGAGGTATTTGCACTGGGCATTCACTGCATTACGACATTCGCTTTCTTAGCATCATCGTCTTGATTTGAATTTGTTTTGTGTTTTGTTTCACTTCAAATATAATGCTGTGAATAAATAGTTGTTGAGTTAGGACATGTTTAGATATGCTAAGGCTGTGTGATCTTCACGTGTTATTCATTGTGTTTCTGATAACACTTTTCATACAAATTTATTATTACATTAAAATGTTGAGCAAAAAATGCCGCTTGCCAAAGTAACTGTTGCATTGCTTTTTATATTGCATTTCTTTCTCCGAAACCAAACTCCTCCTCACCAATGCAAAACGAATGGCATAAACCTTACACTCCCTCCACACGGGCAGAGCTGCGGGTTTAGGCTGGTATAACATAAGTTTGTCTACTATAGCTCCGCCACCTGACGGCGTCTTATACAGCTTGACAAGTATGACGTCTTACATGTTTCTATATTCTAACGATGAGGTTCAGGACCGAACTAATACTTTCTCAAGTCGTAAAATGCTGCTAATGTATACAGAGTGTGAAACTAAAGCCAGACCTGTGTCATTATGATACAAATGAGGCACTCTTGGCTCTGCCTACTAAAGTTGTTTCGTATAACCATAATAGATTCAAGCTGAAGGCTTAGATGGCTTCTTCTTTGAGCTAGCAAAACAAAAGCGTCATTAAAAGTCAGTGTTTGAAAAAACACCGTACTGCAACCACCACCTAAATGAATTGCAACATACACATAACATGAAACTTTAATCCAGTATAAAATTATCTACATACATAATAATGTTAACGACAATAAATTCCTAATAGAGATCTTTGAAAGCCTACTCGAACGCTTAAAGAAAACAAAAAAATCAATGATTTAGACACTGGGCATTCTGGAGGAAGACAATAAAGATTTTAACACGCACATTATAATCGTATGTGGTACAATGCAATTCTATGACGAATCTACACCAGAAATGAATGTTATTTTTAACATAGATTAGAAACTGGATTAATGTTTTTATTGAAAATGAACAACGGGTTCGCGTATTTGCCATGTCTGGCATTTCGTGGCAATCACACATGTCAAAAAATAGTGGATTCAACTTTGCTTACTCCCTGACATTTGCTTTTTTCAAATCACCGATATTCTTCGGAGTAGTAACGTTTACCTTGCCTTTGATGTACCACATGGGAGGACAGTCATGAGGTTCAATTCTGGTTTTCGTGGTGACTAAACAATTTCACTGTAGCGACTCACGAGCTTTTGTATAAAGAGGTTATGAAGTTGGTGCATAGTAGTCCTTACATTTTACTCAAGCCACATCTATGAACTTTATACAGAATGTTGTCTAAGGCGTTACGCATCATAGATTTAGAAAAATAACCCGGTTACTTGCTTTAGTGATATTGCATGACTAGTACAATCAGCAGATTTGACACCTATTGACTCTGTCACGAAGTAAGAGAAATTAAACCTGCTATGCTTGAACGTGTTGTTCAGCATTTTCAATAAATCCTTTCGTAAGATATTTTCCATCAAATTTGATAATCCCAAGTCTTCTCTAGGACATCATATATTAGTTTCTCTTTTAGTATTTGGAATTGTTACAAGTTAGACCTTATTATACTTGTTTTTCAAAGTACACGTCACATTATGTAAGTTATGATGCAGACAAATAAAGTGCTGAGAGAAGTATTAAAGCCCGAAGTAACAGATAGAGGTTTTCCACGCTATTCCCGGATTTTCATTTCACCCTCGATCCAGTTTCAATATTTTCGGTTCAACAGAGGATTGTATTGTAGCCTGTCTTACACAGTTAAGTAAAGAAAAGGTTTTAAAAACATGTATAGCTATCACGGCATCCTACTTGTTATCATATTCCTTGCGATAATGAATTGTTGCAAATAAATTAAATGTCTTGAAAAAAAAATGAATGTACGAAACATCACAATTTCAAATTATTCATACTTGCGAAGACGGCTATACTGATCTTAAGATCAATAAGCTATTTTTTGCAAATTCGTCACAGAAATACATGATTCAATAAATCATAAACATTATTTAGTAGCGTTAGGAGATGTCACATAATTGCTCTCGAATCTCTAATAAACTGACAAATTCGTTAAAATATCGGAGGCTCATTATTAGGACTGGGTTACAGCTTCTACACTACCTGCATTGTAAAGGAAATAGTACCTATATGCTACAAGGATCTGTGGTCCTGTGTATCTTTACAGGTACATTTATGAAATCACTAACAGCGAAACCACCTTGAGATTTGTCTAGGGTTATTACAAACACGTTTTCAGGGTTATAACTCACTCTGTTGTTACTGTTGCTACCATTTTTATCGCTTCTCTCCGAATTTATCAGAGATCTTGTATCGCGGCTTTTTACTATAACTAACAATGGAAACGAAATTACCAAAGGGTGCGTGCTATGCGAAAACAGCACATTCGTTCTCTCTTTATCTTGTTTTCTTTCATCCGTTTTCAAGGCTTAGATGGGACTGACGGGTCGCAAATAAGGAAAGAAGTTAAGCTGAACATTACATTTAAAGACGGCAATCCAAACAGCCACAAAACGTCTGCAGTGATAGGTTGAACTGAATCAACTTTTTTTGTCCTCAACAGTAATTTTCAGTCTTTTGTTTTAGCTGAATCATTTAATGATTACATTTTGGTACGATGTGATAGTATCTAGAAAGATGGATACACCATATTTTTTATGTTTTCCGCTTTACCCAAAGAAATCTGTTTTTGCATAAGTCTCAAAAAGTACTGTCGATTCCGTACATGTCTTGAACTGTTGCCATTCCCAGACGGTGCTAGTATCCCTCATTTTTTAAATTGTACGGCATTAAGCTTGAAGCAAACGAGGCAGATAAAGCGTTTTGACTTGTTGAAGTGAAAGTGTGACTGATAAATGTTTTTCGCTTTCCTTAATAAAAGCTTCCAGGGTACCAAAGCAATCCTATGGTTATTATTATTAACGTTTACATAAAATAGAGAGAAAACCATTCAAATGCAGTATCTTGTCTAGGAGACCTTTATCAGATAGCTGGTGCTCCTATTAATAGATACCGTCTTCTTATTATTATTTAGAGGAAGTACTAACGCTGAATTAGCGCTTCAGCTGATAAACTAGAAGAAATTCTCACAAGAAACCCAATGGGGTATCGACTATGGATACCTTATCTACAAGTCTACGAAAATAACGAGGGTTTATCTGATGATTATGCACTGGTTTTTATGTGTCTTTTCATATGTTCTCCACGAGACTGGAGTTATTCTTCGCAAAAGTTGACCGAACCTTTCGATATGCAGACCAAAAACAAAAGAACTCAACTTGATAGTCAATAAATTACAATAAGTACCTTGAAGTTGTGTTCATATTAGTACGCTTTCTCCTTCAAAATCAGCGTTACCTTCAGTCGACTCTGTAAAGGGCAAAATCAAAGAAAACTAAGCCATTTTGACTTATCCGCTCCCTTGTGAAGCAAACTATCTTGCGAGGGTTTTTTGAATTCTAGAACACGCATAAAAATAAGCTTGCCCTTAAGTTGACCTTGTAAGAACAACATTCAACACCTTCATAAAATATTTTTAATAAAAATACTTTCTTCATTATGACAATTCTCCGAATATTTGACCTGAGAACTACACTCGGCACCTTCACCACTTTTACCAATCGGACAAACTCCTAATTTCTCAGAAACTAATCATAAGATGGCTTTGGTTCCATAGGGATTTTTGAATTTCTATACAGTCTCATGCACTGAAAACCAAATATCACTGACGTCGTAATCTGTACGAGCGAGAAGTGTGCAATACCTGTGTTAGAAAGAGACAGAGGCACCTCGCCTAGCCACCTGAATATGAGGTCACGGCTGCCATCGAACTCTAACATACAGGGTTTGTCCGGAAAGTAATAGGACTGATTTTCTTCCGCCATGACTGTACTTCGGAGCGTGCGCGCACCGACTGGATTCGGTAGAGGGCGTTCCTAGCTAACGAATGGGCGGCTGATCAGTTGTCTCCGAGCACTTGGAGAGTCAGGACAGGAATTTTCGCGCGACGTGTTTCTGTGAGTGGTGCAAGCCGAAAATGCAGCGTTCGTTAGAGCAGAGGTACGCGATTAAATTCTGCGTGAAACTCGGCAAATCTGCGACAGAGACGTTCGATATGATCAATCAGGCTTACCCAGGTGCTGCTTTAGCAAGAAGTGGTGTGTTTCGGTGGCACCGGGCCTTTTTGGAGGGCCGGGAAGAGGTCACTGATGAAGACCTTGCTGGATGACCTTCGACTTCGACAAACACCGATAATGTGACTCGTGTGCGCAAAGTTTTGAACTCAGACCGTCGACTAAGTGTTCGTTTAATTGCCCAGATGTTAAATTTACCAAAATCTGCGATTCATGACATTGTGACACAGCATTTGAACATGAGCAAGATGTGCGCGAAGATGGTCCCAAAAGTGCTCACTGACGACCAGAAATTGCGGCGAATGGAAGTGTGCCAAGAAAATTTGAACATGTGTGAAAATGACCCCCAATTTTTGAATAACGTAATCACAGGTGATGAGTCGTGGATCTTTGAGTATTATCCCGAGACAAAGAGGCAATCTTCCGAGTGGCGCACGACGGCGTGTCCTCGCCCCAAAAAGGGAAGAATGAGCAAACCCAAAGTGAAAACGATGCTCATTGTCTTTTTTGACAACAAAGGCATCGTCGACCATGAATTTGTTCCTCCTGGACAAACCGTGAACGCCAAGTTTTACGTGGAAGTGCTCAGGAGACCCAAACGAAGCGTCAGTCGGGTCCGACAAGACATCGCAGCCGACTGGAAGTTGCACCACGAGAACGCCCCGGCTCACACCGCCTTTCTTGTGAACAGCTACCTGACCAAGGCCGGCATCCCAACGCTTCCGCAGCCGCCCAACAGCCCAGATGTGCCCCCCCGGACTTTTTTTTGTTTTCTCGCATGAAAAGGCCGATGAAAGGCAAGCATTTTGATACAACAGAGGGGATCCAAGCAGCATGCACCGCGGCTCTCAAGGCTATTCCGGACTCAGTCCTATTACTTTCCGGACAAACCCTGTACATAGTGCACGCTTCTCGCGCTTTTCTCTCGTACACATTACACATCAGACAAATTTGAGCTTCACCGTATACGAGTCGAGCTGGCGCAAGTACGTTTACATGGTACCGGTAGATTTCTGCAAATATGTTTTTATATTTCGAAACTATAGTTTTTACCACATGCTGCATCTTTTTTCTATTACTTTTTTGTGACTGGCAAAAAAAGATTAGTCATGACAATCATTGTGCTTTAAAATGTTACTGTTCAAGTTCATTTGTACCAATATACATCCAAAAAATGTGCACAAATATTCTTGTCTAGATTCCAGAAACGTGTGTCACTAGTCCTTCATGTACAAAACGTTTATATGCCAAGTAGACTTGTTTGCGGCCCGCGAACTCGCCCGAACAAAAATACACTAGATCGTGAGCGGAAAGAAACGAACGATCGATAATCTGATAATGCCGATATACCTGATTCTGATGAATCAGTTTCAGCCGATTATCGGTATCGGCGACAATCTTATATCGGCTTCTCTCTAATCTGAAGGTACGTCCAATATAACAAATTTTCACCGCGACCTGAGCCGCAATATATTTTCTTTCCTGACGAAAAATATTGTAGTTATCGAAGTAAATGTAAGCATATGCATACATACTACATACATTCATAGTAAGTTGGAGAATCGACAAAACCCAGGCGAGAAGTTACACACTCTCAAGAGGAAGTGTTAACCTAATCTTCAAACGTGTACTCCATCAACCCAACCATAGGGGATGAACTCGTTTTCTGATGTTGATGTAATAATTTTCCACTATTAGCTATGGACACACGGATAAGTAACCCATTAGTCATACCACAAGGTAGTTCCGCATTTCATCCTTAAGGTACTGTTTAATAGATGTATTTAGGCCTCTCAAATGCTAAATTGATTGTGCAGTTGTTTTTTCTTCTAAAAAGTTACGATTCTCTAATTGATTTTTCTACGAATTTCTCAACTATTTCCTTAGTTGTTAGGTCAAGAATAGATACAATTTGATAACTGATTTATCGAAAATATTTTATATATGCGCCTGCAATACAGGCGAATTCTTAAAAGACTGGAGTGACATATTATGTTCATAATTAACGCTTTAGAAGATCGAAGGAGTATTTCCTGAAAATAACTCAGAGCAAGCTTTTTCTCAAACATTGCCATGCAAAGTTGTGGAGGAGATATTCAGTTTTCTTTGTCAAAGTCTCGTATCTGAATGTCCGTAAAAGAATCAGAGAAACAGTAAATGATTGTATAGTGTAGTAATCACCTTTATTCATGTGAGAAAACTTGCATCGCAGAATCAAAATATCGTTATACAGGGTGAGTTTTTAGTGTGGGCTCTATTGTTACGCATGGTAGTACATAACTGCGTGGTGACCCAAACTTAAATTTCTTAAATAAATAGCCCTACATTGCAGATTCCCATAGGCCCTTTCAAATGATGCAATTTGATACAACATAACATGGGGCTTTGCCTTCGCAACTGTCATAGCTGGTGTACTGAACTTTTCGCCAGCAAAAATTTTAGAATCCCACATTTTCTCTCCATAGACGTAACTTTTCAGTTTTTTTTATATAGTTTATACAAAGCAGTCCAAGAACGCAAAATAAAAAAATTATCAGAATTATCAAATGGAATACCCTGTATATTTTCACACTTATTGATTCCCCTTGTTACAAGCTTTTTTCTGATACAGGTCTATGGGGGTCTGTACCACTGGTTTTTGAGTTACTGAATACACAAGGACATTTCAACTTTTCGACTTTGCATAGATTGATTAGATTTAATTTACACCACTTCTAAGAATCTGCTGTTACCAACTAAATGCTATTTTGAATTTTTAAAGGTATTTAATATTTTCCACTTACCTTGGATGTCTGATTGTCTGATTTTCAAAAACATTGGCTGTTACTAAATACCAGTCGTACAATCCTCCATAAACCTTATATAAAAAAAGCATGTGAAAGGGTATCAAACAACGTAAAAATATACAGGGCGTTCCCTTTGGAGAATTTAAGGAAACATTCATTTAAAATTATCGTCCATCCTGTATAAACTATCAAAAAAACTGAAAAAGTGAGTGCATAGGAAAAAGTTGGGTTCCAAAAATTTTCTGAAGAAAAATTCAGTACTAGCTATAACAGATGTGAGTGGGCCAGATGTCAAAGTTGAATGCTTTTTTCGATAGATTGCCCTACATCTCAACAATAAGAAAATAAAACCCTATAGTAAAATATATCAAGGCCTATTCAAATATCCAAAAAAATTCAGGTCCTTCCGTGTACAAAAATGTATATTTGGGTCACCACGTAGCTACAAATCACCCTGTAGGAATAACAATATTTTCCATGTAAGGAGCATACTGTTTGCTTCTTTACTGTATGTACAGTTATTTAAAATATTTTCAAAATTATGACAACTCTACCGTTGATGGAATGTATTGCTTGTTTTTTCGATGTAAAATATCCGTCTACGCCGTGAGCTATAATGGCATTAAGCCTTTTCAACCTTACGTCTGGCGTATGGATGATGAAAAAGATACTCCTACCAATCTTCTCATTTTTGCATGAATAGAGAACAACGATACTCTTTATGCTACATATCTGTACAGGAAATACACAATTAATATTTTCAAATTAAACCTAAAATTCTTAAATATCACACATGTTCAGAACAAAACTTACACTTCTTATTGCTATAGCAGATATTTTCTTACTAAATTACCTAGAATGTATGTAATTCTGTAGCACTACTATAATACAGCACCTACCGCTAAGACTACGTTCTATATAACATAATTTTACAAAAAGATCCTCCAAAACAATTCTGCTTTCTGCAAGCTTTAATCTAAAACGGTTAGTCGTAGTAGCTGGAGAAGTCTTCTGAAACAAGAGTAATCTGTTTATTATTATGAAATATGATTAAGCCACTACAAAGAAAGGACGAACTAGTCATTTAAATTTTATAGTCAAGCAAAATTGCACAAAGTACAGCAACATATTGCAAGTTTGCAAAAACCCCCACAAACCTGGTACATACCTTAAATACACCACTATAAATAATTTATATCAAAAGTCAAAATCGATCCCTAGAGCGGATCCTTGTTTTATCACGTTTTGTCATATTTCCCGAAAAAGGACAGAGATTCTAAAAAAATTGTAGAGAATACAATTAATAATAATAGTAAAAAGTCTTGATTGGAATATACATAACATCTTATTCCTGATAGATATATCTATTCCAGTCAACCTGCTAAAATAACAATATCTCTAAGGAGAATAGTGTAACATATGAATATTGCTTACTAAAAATATACATTTGAAAAGAGTACAAATATATTAGAGAATGGACAATAAATGAATGAAAAACAAAATAGAGTAAGATAAAGAATAAGGATAAACTGAATCAATCTGTCAAGGTAAGGCTAATGATGTACTCGTATAAGAGGCTGTTTGGCTTGTTTTTTCATACTATTCACCGACAGAGTTTTTAAATGTTCACTTGCATTATTGTTTATTTTAATAGAGTTATAAATAAACGACCGACGGAAAAATGTACTACTGTATATGTTACAGTTAATACCCGTTTTTAGTTACATCGCATTTTCTCTAGTTATGACTAGAATCTCTGCTATTTTTTTTTAATTTTAGTTAAAACTAGTTTCAACTTCAAATCTCCATTAAAGCTGGTATTATAGGAGCTTATTGGAGGTTGAGAAATATGGGTGTTATTTATTAAATTATACATTAGAGATTATTGAATATCTATTTATCAAAAATAATCAGACACGAAGAAGGAACATAAAGCAAAATCAAAATAAAACACTGATGCCATAGCCACAATATTAATCTTAAGTAATTAATCAAAGAAACATAAAAAACAGCTTAATTAAAACCAATCAGAAGCAGTTTTATCTGTGACGTATAAAAAACAATTGAATATCGGGATGCCTGAAAACTCAAAAATGTATCTGTTTTCCTTATGGTTTAACGCGCAATATTCCAAATTTTACCTTTAATTTGCTAACATACAAATAATTACTCGTGTTTTTTCCTAGAGTGCACTGTTTTCGTAAAAATAAAAATAAAATAAATTAAATCAATGCCCGAGATACAATTAGTTTCAAAATAAAATAGCTGGCCTTGATGGCAGTTTGACGTTTCTTGGGAATGGTTTATCTAAGTTATGAGATACGGCTGTTATCGTTACTACTACCATTTTTTTTAAAGGTCAAGTCAAAAGTTTCTTGTTTCCATTTTAGAGATGTTGTGACATGAAATTTAGCAATGATGAGTACGCCGATATTATTTTTGTGCATTAATACTGTTGATCAGCTACAAGAAAGAATAGATAACGCATTTCATCAAATTCAAGCCACAACAAATTTTGCGAAAATTCGTTTTTCTTTATTAGGAATACGTCAGAATGCTGGTCTTTTTGAGCATTTATTGAAATACAGCTTTGATTATCTAATTTATTTTTTTATCTTGATGAAAACAATCAACTCTAGGAAAAAACACAAGTACACAAACACAAACGAGTAATTATTTGTAGCAAATTGAAGGTAGAATTCCAAAAATTGCGCGTTGCGAAAAAAAAACAGTAGCGTAGTATTTTTATTTGGAAAAATAATGCCACTAATATCTCTGCTACTTGTGCAGTTTAATTTTAAGTAAAGGCTTTTGAATGCGGACAATACTTAGGTAAATCCACATACCAAATTTTAGTTCATTCCAGTTGACGGTTTTGAAGATATTAAAAAAATAGTTTTTTATTTTTAACCTTCAATACCGTATGCTTTGAATGAAGCCCTCGAGGAAAAAATGATACATAGAAGGCCCCCCTTAAAATGCTGTCCTGTATATGATGTTTTATTTTTGGTCACGACTTGTGAATCACCCTGTATAATATATGCCACATGAGATCAGAAGGGAAATATTGAATAAAACAAGGTTCTACTTCAGGAATCTATTAAGACTTTTGATACATTATTCTTCATGGCGTATTTGAAGTATGTACCAATTTTTCCCTTTGTGAAAATTTTAGCAAATCTAATTTTTACTTTGACTTTGTATTAACGTCATACAGGATACTTGAAACCTCTAATTACATCTTTCGAAAAAATCGCACCTTGATATTATTATATGTATATTTTTTGTTGAATGCATCCACGAGATTAATACTTTGAAAGGACAAACTTTGGGTAGTCTTAGTTTATACTCAAAACATGGATTCATGACATGATGCTCTCCTCAGAACTATTGTCTCAGTTATCTACCAAGCAACTCAATATCTAAACCCAGTCTTTTAACTTTTTGATCAAAGTGACAATTGAAATAACAACCAAAGATTTAGTATTAGTTTACAGACCAATAATAAGAAGTAGATTCTTACAATACTTACCCAAATTTACACCAGGCCCAGATATCCTCCGATGGTACATGTGATTATAATCGCCAGAATTGTAAGACAGATTAGAATCATGATTTTCTTCTGCAAATTGAAACAGTATGTGGTTGTAATATCGAATACTGCACTACACAATGTGCCATTGTCACCTAGACCCCTTGAATCGAAGAAAAATTTGCATATTGTGACAGTGTAGTTGTGTTTGTCTCAAAACCAACATTCAGCATTAGTCAAAAACAGGTCATTCTGTAATACATAACACAAAACCGCCTACTTTTATTTCTAATGCATAAAATGGCCGATACGACTTTCTTATGTGCTTTTATACTTAATAGTCAAAACAAGTCTGATTCCGGAATAATGGTATGAGGAGAACAATAAGTTTTGCATGTAATATCAAGCTAGTGAAGGTCTGACATGACACATGTCACACTAGTTTTGTTATGTATAAGTTACGGCGAAAGACGGTAATGGGGCTCTGACCTTAACGGCCGGGATTGACGTGAATGACAGTGCGAGTGGACAATGCTGTAAATATTCCCGGCTCAACGTCTTCACCTGGCCACTGAAGACAATGATCAAGATGAAATAATGAACGATCGTAGTCAGTAAAACACATGCAACAGACGTTTTAAAATACGAATCCTGGAGTTGACGTCAACGTCTTCGCTTCTTTATTGTCACAAATACGGTTATTCTATATCTCAATGTTAAAAAATGACTCAACGACTAGTGCCTTTGTAAGCAATACAAGAAACATAACCACACATTGCGTGTAATAAAACTTTGCAGTCCACTATATCATCATTATCCGCTGTTCGACATTAAAATGACCAATATTCCAAATGCATTTTGAGTAGTATATGCAATTAATTATGAAACGGATATATCGACACAGTCCCACCCATCTGCACAAATCAAACTTGAAGGTTACTTTATTGTTGCACTTTCCACCGAATAGAATGGAGAATGTTGATTTGATTTGAGTGTAGGGTAGTTACCAAGATAATATTTTAGCAAAACAGGCCATACCTCCACTTCCTGTCAGCTAAAAATCGAAGTAGTATTTGATATTTGACGTCAAAATAAAACTCCTTTTGTATTATTATACATATAATTTTTGTCAAATATTGCTACATTTACATAATATATTCAAGATGTTTTTCCGTCTGATACTTTACAAATTCTTCGAATATAAAATGCATGAGTGGATGTGATTATTTGACTGCGCGTGGTGAAACTATAGATATTAATCTCTCACTTAGTTGTTTACTTATATTCACAATATTTATATGTACAATTCAATGTATCACATCACTTTGTTCCTTAAACCAATGATGTCGCAAAATTCACGCAAATTTTAATTTAAACAGAAAACAGTTGCTCTTCATTAGATTATTTTTATTGAATCATAAAGCTAACAGGTTAGGGTTAGCTTGTCAACTCCAGGCGAATCACGATTTGAGGTGGATGTTTTCTGGATTAGCTGAAGTTTATATGGGAGGGGTTTCAGGGCACGGTGTATAACAAGAATAGATAGATGCGCAACGCGAATGTGGTAATAGATGGCGCTTTATGCTGTCTTATTTTGATAGATCTCATGCCTCAGATAGATGATATGGTTTCGTTTGTTGTGCCTCAGACCAAGTCTAGACCATGCTGACGAGTTGCCAAAAAGCACCAAACAGCTGTCCATGTTTGCTGTCTATGGTCGGACGGACGAAAACAGATTTAGTTTTTTCAATAGCGAATAGATCACATCAACTATACCGCCAGAATTGCCAGCCTCTAGCGGTGACAGGGCCATCAAACGCGAACTTACATCTTTACAGTTCCAACCGATACATGCTATACACTCTCGCAGTTCTCGATTCTGGTAATAGATAGTTTCTCTAACAATATGGAACAATTTTTTTGAAACTACATGTGCTATTATCATCAATATGGTCTAATTTGCACAGATAGAATCCCACAGACTTTTGTGGACTAAAGAAGGAAATTCACGCTGCATGAATGAGATTCAGCCACGAAAATTTCGAGAAAAAAACATGTGCAAAGGCTGCTATACTATACATGCTACGTTGTATAATTTATGATTAAATAAAATAATATTAAGAGGAAAAGCTGTTTTCTATTCAATTCCAATCTTATGTGAATTTTGACACCACCTTTATTATTCTATATTACAATATTAAAAACGTGTGAAATGGGTTACTGAACGAGAATATAGGTCGTTCCAGGAAGAAATGTTCTGCTTCAGGTATTTATTTGCAAGAATAGAGTTAAAAATCGTTTAGTTTTTCGTTTTTTTTTTTCAAGTTATTTTACCGCTGAATAAATTAACCTACAGCCCCTTTTTTAGCGCCGCAGATTGGTTTGTTAACACAAAAATCGGGCAAAGATTTTTGAATAAAACTATGATTACAGTACTAGATTAGGGTTAATGAAATATGAATATACCTATGCACTATCGCGAAAATATTCATTGATTACGATTATTTTATTTTTAGTATTAATGCTTGCAACAGTTGTAAGTAGAATGTATACATACATTTAACATCCCCATCCAAAACATGTAAAATACATCAAAGATTCTTCATAATAGTTCTGATATCACTTTCTCCGTTTGTTTATAATAGTTCTGATATTTATTTCTTCGTTTAATTTAAAGCTATCTCACTCTCAGTAGCACCCTCTGTTGCAACGAATAAGGGCGTGCAAAGATACCATATTTTATTTGTTTTACTCATTCCAAAGTAATGAAACAAAGACAGTGGATAACATGCAAACTCATAGCCATACCGAAACGTATGGTGATACAGCGAAAAAAAAATATGATTAGAGCATGATCAACATACTAATGAATGATTAGCTTGACAAACAGTGACTTGTGCGTTTGAAGTTATTTTTTGTATTTGGCGCAAGGTTACTGTGTGCCACTAATAGATCCTCAAATGTTGTGTTTGATTACAAACCATTGTATATGTACTTCAGTAATAAGAAATGATAATTTGTTTAAATTGTATAAGCCGCACTCATAATGTAAACATCTTTTTATCAAAGCTTATATACTGAATGCCTGAGAATATCGTACGTTTTAATATTTATACTTGAAGAGTTAATTGTTTTCCCAAGTAGGCTACACAATGGCCCCACTTAAAAACAATACACACATTTATTTTCATTGCATTGTAAATTTTTAGAAATTTAAATTTAGAAATATTTATCATATTTTTTTAAATCATAGAAAGATAATTCTGTTTTACTATCATGCCTTCTCTACAAGATAAGCACTAGTCCACAATCGTAGGACCTCCATGGAGGACCTAGATTTTTATTGAAAAAAACTGCAATAGAGGCCAGTATCGTGCGAATAGAAGTAATTAAGGTAAATAGCAAGGTGTCAGGTTTTTAATGGTTTTACTGGAATGACTGAAAAATTCCATGCTTAATTTTTGTATTCAAAAATTCAATCCGTGCGTGTTTTAGGGCTGAAAAAGCGGCGAAGCTTGATTTCCCTAGCGATAAAAAGAACTTGATAAAAATAGATTTTTAACACTACTTTTTGCAAGTAAAAGATTGAAGCGGAACATTTTTCCTAGCACGATCCAAATTCTCTAGAGATACCTTTTAACACGTTTTCATCAAATCTTTTTTCACTTATAATTTCCCCAAAACATTCTGCTATATTTCTTAGACTAATAGTTTAACCCTAAATATACATCAATCTATGCCTATAGTTTACAATGCTTAACAGTGTAAATATTTTATTTTACAAGCTATGGTATTGATTTGAATTGAAAATACGTCAGCGTCTCGGTATGAGAAATGAAAATGAGTTTCTTTCATAGATACTTTCACACATTTCATACAACTTACTGGTTAAAAGCGATTATGAAATCTTATAAGTAATTTCATTGCTTTTTATGGTACAGTCTATGAAAGTAAATATTTTGCCATTTGGTAGCTGACCAAGCAATGTTAAACATTACTTTAAAATAAACTAAGCCAAAGATACTATTCGAGGACTTATAGAGGAGGGTTTAAACTCTTCTTTATACATTCGACAACCTCAAAAATAGTTATTTTTCAACTTGCTCTAGCGAGGTGGCGTAGTGGTGAACCTTACTACTGCTAATGATTCGCCGTGATCGCGCGTTCGCAACCCGTCCCAAGCGAGCTTTTCTCTTAGCTGTGAATACTGTGATTGTCCGTAGATGGTAGATTGTTTCAGTCTGTCGAACGTGGAGCTACCACCCGGCGGATCTCTGTGGCGGGGCCAGAATGTGTCTTGCATGTGGCATGCACACGTGTTCCTTCCTTCGTCCTGTATCCCCTATAACGCTACGGTACCCATGCGTGTTTAGGCAGTAGGACTTCGTGGTTGAGTTTCCAAACATTGAGAATGACCATTTTTAAGGTTTTTCTGACACAGTTTAAACAAATTTTGGGAGATCTAGAAAAAGTTTGTTCGGGTTGGAAAAAAACATTTTTGTAATTTGCTTAAAATACTGTTTATACAAACTTGCACCGGGTTATCGCTTGGCCAGCACTTAATTCATGTGTTACGGGACATCCAAAAAATAAATAATGAAAAAATCGTTGGAAATAAGTTTCTTCTACGAACGCCACGTTTTCCCCCTGACTAACATCCCAGCATCTGTTCAGGAATGATCACTGCATATCGTGGAAGTCATCAAGTGGTCGATCCGAATTAAGTAATTATATCCAACAAACAAATTCTAAGAACAAACCATATTATACAGTATACTCATTACGATATTAGCAGCTCATTTATTTTCACTGCTGAAGAAGTGTTATTGACCTGTAAATTATGTGATTGCTTTAACTGCACCATTTTGATTCAAAATGGTTGGACCACTTAAAATAGTATAGAAATAATCATACAGACCGACGAAGGAATAAATCATCTATAAAAAGGGGTACATCTTCTAAATCAATAAATTGTCCCAACGGCTATCGGAGACGAGCGCGACTTTGGCGAAACAGTTCTTCATAAGGTAAATTCCAGCTGCTGCAGCTTTCTAAACAGCCATCGTATATATTTATAGAGATCGACTTCTCAAATTTTAGTGTGCACACAGGTAAGCAATCAGTGTGAGACAGGCGCTAAACATATTGCCTGTGTAACAATGCATCTACGTCTGCTATAGTCTAACTACGTTAAAAAAACCTAGTAGCGTTACTATAAAGCTGTCCGTTTTCAAGTTATCAGCGAATTAGTGTCTGAAAAAACCTGATAGTGGACCTTTTCAATGCTTAAAAACTATCAGAAATGATTGCTTTTGAGGTTGCCAAGTGTGTAGATTAAAGTACGAACCTTCCCCTACAAGATTCCGTAGAATACTTTAGGCTTAGTTTTGTACTTGCGCGTTAGGCGTACTACAGGCTAGCTTTTGATTTTCGCAGACTGTACATTGATCAGTAATTCTGCTGAAAAGAAATGCAAGGAAAATACTGGACAGCATATTTTTTTTGCCTAAAAATTCATTACCCTACAAGTTCTAAAATATGAATATAGATTACGAGCCGTTTAACATGGACGATAATTTCTGTGATTATGCCGCAAATTTCCATGAAACTGAGTAGCTGTTTTACATCTAAAATTCTACTACAAGTTTGCGCCGTTAAAACGTAAAACATGCTCTGTACGACTTGCGCGAGAATCTGCGCAGTAGACCGTTTTTGGTGCAAATGCATTTGCGTACAATATAACCTTGAAAACGTCCTTGTGAAACTTATGTAAAAATTGTTGTTAACGTCATGAGTATTAAAAATATGATGGCTTTACGCAGCAGCATTGCATGAATTATTGCAAAACGCAGGTAGTACCGTATAGAGAAAATGTTTTATATTTGATGGTGAAAATTTTCACCTGAATTCTCTCACGTGTAAACAACAGCTAACATTTTCGGTATGATTACGACCGTAGTTTTTGTAATAATTCTCGTCCATATAAAACGACTCTATTACTTAAACATTTACGAGAGTATAATTATAACCTCACTCAACAAGTCTTATTTTACAATGCTTTAAATACATGTATTTCCAAAAAATTTAATCATCGACTATGTCATTCTTAAGAAGTGTCAACTTCCTAATACATTGTGCGTTAATACTACCGAACACACTTTCACGCAACCAGGATACCAGCAAGATCGCAGAAATTTGATGGCACAGAATGGCAAGGAGATTCGTTACATTCCCCAGGTGAAAGCCGATCTATCCCATTTCACGACATAGCAGTCGTAAAGGCGCTTAATGTATTTTTATGTCTCTTACGGTACGAATCGATCTTTTGCAAGAAAGAGATACATTTTCAGTTTTTCTTCGACATTAGAAGATTATACAGAGTCTCTAATAAATATTATCGACCCTACGAGACAATGTAAGGCAGATGAATGCCGGCAGGAAGTAGCGATGCTTCCAGAGATTTTGGTTGAAATTTCCTCAAAGTTCGGACTTTTCTTTTCAATGCGTATTGGTCAGGCAATAATAAGCTTGTTTTCTAGTAACATATCTCCTCTCACAATTCCCTCCTACCTCAAAGCGTATGATGCTGTAAGACTATGCGAATAAGAATGCAAATCAGGTGTCGTGTTTGAAAAACCGAAATTGGCACATTCTTAGAGCAATAGAGTGGTTATCGACTTGATATAAGCTTCTCCAAGATCCTATTGATACTCCGCCAGTCCAAGCGAATGAGTATTTTTCTTCAATTTCATTGTTACGTTTTCGGTGGTTTTGTCGCAAATTAGCTTAGCTATTGCAAAAGTAGTTCACTCTTAAAAGTCCCAACTTTCAGCACACCCTGTAGTTTTTTGGCTGAAAATTTGTAATATTAAACCAGGAAATAGGTAGTTTTTTTCTACAATTTTGACCACAGTATTTTTTGTGACATCGATAGATTATTGCATCCTTACGATAAGTTCAAGTTGGCGTCATGATGGGACCGTAACATTTGAAGTTATTTTGGAAAACGCGTTTGATCTAAAGCATCGAAAACGACCAATCCTATGTAAAAAAGTAATAAAAATAATTTTGCAGGGAATTAAATTATGCAAGAAGTATCTGTTCTTGGAATCGTCAACACTACAATTATCTGCAAATCGCATCGCACTTTTAAAAAATAAAACCAAAACTAAAAATTTAATGACAACTGTCTAAAAATTGACTTATGTCAAGTGCACTTTGATAATCTCTACAGACTCTGAGAATTAGAAGACAAACCAAATCCTTATTTGGCTCCTTCTACCTAGTCTAAATTCGTTGAACGATGCCGTTGCACTCTGATGGTTTCTGAGACACCCCTCACCGTTCCCCTGCTTGCATCCTCTCGTAGGGACAAGAAAATTTAACAAAACGATCATTGACATTCTTAATATTTCTAACATTCGTACAGAAGATTATTTGATCTCTTATTATACTATACCTACTAAAAATGTGCCTAGTAAAAAAAATGGAAACAACTATCACAACGTAAAGAATTATTGTCTAAAGGGGTTTAAGTAAATGATTTTGAATGCTTCAAGGTTGATTCTCACTATACATTCCGTTTCCCTTCCGTAAATTATTGGAATTAAATATTCGCCTTCGCTTAAAGCAGGCTATTGCGTGTGTATGCACATTATCCGTAAGGTATACTGTGTATACAATCACCTTGTACGGAACGTTTACGAAACTGATATGGAATGGAAACGGAATGTATAGTGAGAATCAACCTTTATCCAGTAAACACCATTCCACATGCGTATACAGGATCGGCAGAGAATCGTTGATGTCGCTTATATTATATGCACGAGAGAGATAGAGCGAGAACCACGTATATTATAGAGAGAAAGCGCGTATAAAAGGTGCCCGGTATCACGATAATCATGATACTATAACTCCAGAAGATATGCCCACTTCGTGATCGAGTCTCGTACTGCTTTGCGCATGGCGTCACTCAGTAACAAATGTCCCGCTCGTCAGTATAAGATGCTTTGTTTTAAACTTCTTTTGGATATTTGCCTACATTTTTTTGTGTTATCGACTTTACATAATTTTAGTATTAAATGAATATTATAGAGTGTTATATTTATATTTTGATGTTTTATCACCTTTGAAAAATTAACAATAGACAAGTTGAAAAGAGCTAAATTTAATTATTGAAAATGTGCTTGTAGCTCCTTAAACTAAAATTTCTTTAGAGCTCCAAATTAAGGAACTTTTCATTGAAGCAAATTAGTTTTAAATAATACCTTTGTGCATCAGTAACATATATTAATTTGTTATGTCTATCAACTGTTGTGTAAATCGTTTTTTAATCTTATTCATGGGTAGTTGTTAACAAAAGTCGTTTGTATTTTAAACAGTTTTACAGGGTTTATTTTACAATTTTCAATATTTTCCTCTTCTCAATTCTGGATTTTTCATTTGTATTTCTATTTAACAACCTAGTTTTAAAATACTTTTTGCATCTAAAAGAATATGCTTGGCATTTGCACTTACACTAACTGGCATGACTAAATTCATTAACGATTTTTGTTGCTGATAACACTTCAAAGTCCATTGATCGAAAACTTGTTTGTGCTTTGAAAAAATGAACAAACGCCAATTCAAAATGAACTTGATTTTCTTGTTGTTGTTGCTTGATCAACCCACTACTGCACCTTACACCATAGTTAAGTACTCAATTCACTTATTTTTCAATTATATTATACACAGAGACCTATTTGAAGCACACCGGATAACAAAGTATGTAATAAAACTAATCACAAATTACGTGCTAAAGCGGCATCCAAGACTGAACGCGTCTCTGAGGAATTTTGTCACAGAGTGACGCCTACCTTGCGAACGAGATTATTATCTTCCGATGCTGTATACGAGCTGTCCCAGAGAAAGAACAATTTTGGAATGCTACGAACAAAAATAAGACAAATATCTGATTGTACAGAAAAACTAAAACCTAGTAACAAGAGTTATTACTCGTGCTTGATTTCATTTTATATATTATCTTACCTGAAGATTGGAAAACTTTATCATTTAGGCAATTTAAAGTAAAAATAAAGATAAACTGAAAGCAAGTCAACTTTTATTCAATTGATGATTACAGCCACTAATGTCATATGAGGTAAACCCACTTGATTATAATTACGACACCGCGTGTCATGTTATCTGCTTTTGATATGTCTGTCCTATATCTTTCTATGTGTATTTTTATGTTGTATCTTTTGGCATTCGATCTTTTGTATTTTATTCCATCATTTCGACTTGCTAACATAAATACGAGCTTTTGACAATAAATATCTATCTATCTAAAAGGGAGGTGTGCAGGTCTGCAGGGTTGTTACGTAAGAAACCTATATAATGTTGAAACAAATTCCGACAAAATGTCAACTTGCTGACTAGATAGTTCCTAGTGTGCCAAAAGCGTCATCTGTGAAGCAATGACTCAACGTCACGCTCAATGACCAGCTGCAAGTCAGTTCCCCAGCATGCTTTGTTGGTCGCAGAATGGCGAGATGGTCTACAGAGTATATCTCTGAGATGTAAGAAAGAGAAGCATAGTAGCAAGATCGCATCTGGATGATTGTGTATATTGGTCTGCACGTGTATAAAATCAGTAATATCAGTAATGTGAGAAATTCGCTGAATATGCTGCACAAGTATATCTATTTACTGTACCAAACAGGTTATTTGTGTTGTCCTTTCTGAAGGGAGGTTATGTTCAAAGTTATAAATTACGATTTTCCTCTTGTTTACGTTTCCAGAAACTTTGAGAACCATTCCAAGAAATCAACACCGCGACCACGATGCGAGTAAAACCGTACGATCACAGAACAATAGGAATGACGCATCACACACAACACACTTTCGCAGCGCCTAACATCTAAGCGCTGATTCGTATTTTTTACTTGACATCGTAAAATAGATGCCTTTTAGATCGCATCAGAGCCAAACTTTGATCAATAACTCGTCATGAAGTTTAGGCAACACGTACAGCTACAAAACGAGTGCACATCAAGTAAACAACGGCTAGTCCTAAGTTGAAATCGTGTAGAAAAACCTACATAATGTCACAAAAAACGTATATAATGTCAAAAAACCTACATAATGCCACCTTTCAATTACATATTTTGAAAACTGACAATATGTCAATTTTTTTTGACATTGTATTGTTTTTTTGTGATATTATGTAGGTTTTTGAACAAGATGTTAACTTAGCACTAGCCGATGGACACGTTGTGAACTCGATTTGTAGTTGTACGTGTTGCCTAAAGTCATGAGGCTTCAGTTATCAATGTTTGGCTCCGATGTGATGTATAATCTGCTTCAGAGATGGCATTAATGTGGTGCTAAGCTGTAAGTTATACAGGTATAGTATAGCTAGAAGGAAACGGCAATGCATAGGTGCATATTTGAGGATTTGTTTGCTAATAATAATTGTTGATGATAATTCCAATGGATTCTTGTCTCAAATACACTTACTCAAGATTCAAAATTGCGCAACCACTTTTTCTTATCCATCCTGGAAATTACATATGCAAATTCACTGAATTTCAAAAATGAGAAAGAAAAGAAATAATTATATTCACTGTACACTGTCAAATTACACTCAACGCGGGCGCGGTGGTAATTTTTCGTTACTCTCCTAAAAGTTTTTGGTATCACATAAAAACGTAAAAAATCGTAATTTATAACTTTTAACATAATCTGTCTTCAGAAAGGACAACATATAAACAACCCATCGGGCACAGCTAATAGATATATTTCATTGGCAGCATATTTAGTGATGATTTTCTCACGCTGATTTTATACACATGCAGACCAATACACATAATCATCCAGATGAGCTCTTGCTACTCAACAACTTCCAGAGATGAAAACTACAGACTACTCGGCTTCACAAAACATATGCAACCAACAATGTGTGTGGTTGAGCCATTCCTCCATCGATAGACGCTCACAACGATCCTAGTGAGCAGACGGCGTGGATTGACTGCACCCTAAAAACTACTTAGTCTGTTTTTTACATAATAGAACAATGTGTTCAAAGCACTGAGTGTGATTGAGTGACCATTTGTCTTATTTTTGTAGCATTTATTGGGATGCTAAATGTGAAAGATAACGACATATACATATATTATCAAAGATCAATTTTGCCAACTCTGCACAAATAAAATACGAGTAATATAGTACATTATATTAAGTATAAGACATTTTTTGATCAATGCAACCATCCTTATTCAATCAAGGAATAGAAGTGAATACTTCTAAGTATTTTATTTAGTTATTATTAAACTTGCTATCTTTGATAACGAGTAACCAAGGAAGTATAATGAAATACTAAGTTTTCACATGTAACTATATTACTCAGTATTACTCATACTCTGTATACGCATAAAAAATTTCGTGTATTGCTATGGTTGCGAAATTTTATTTCGTCGCATACTTACCTAAACATGTCTTAACGAGACAAAATGTGTTATAGCCATTCCGCCTACCAATACGCTTAAAGCTGCCAAGCAGACTAGTATCATGATTTTCTTCTAAAATTTCGAAAAGTCACTTGTCAATAATAGAACGGTAAGTTCATACTCACAAAATATCTTGTGCATAAGAGAACAAAACTAATAATTTCGATTTTTTTAAACGGAAGAAACCCAACAAAAAAGCAAACAAATAAAACAACCAAATGAAAAAATAATTTTAATTTAATTAGAGCCTCAATTAAAAGTATAAATAATAATACACAACTTCAACCAAATATATGGAGGATATAATAATTACATAAATTAACATAACATACTCAAAACAATTGTCTTTGGCATTGTTAGTACGTAAACTGAACGTAGGTAAAAAACAAATGCAACAAGTACATTTACCAAGCTACAACAAACCATACTAGCATTCAAATGAACTCTGACGTCCAGAAAACATTCGGCTCATGAAATGATACAATATTAGGAATCCTCATCAAAAGTTGGTTTTTCAATTTACCATCAATGACAATTAAAAATCCAACAAACAGGCGTGAAAGACATCGGCAACGGTAAAGGTATGATATAACAAATGCGTGTTTGATCAACAGTATCAATTAGAGATCAATTTCTATGGCGCTTGAGATTTGGAATAGAACAATAATAATGATTTTACCATATTTTCCAAAGCTCTTTTGAATGCCAGTAGGTACAGCGAATATTAAAAACGCACCGTTTAAAAGGAATACTAAAGCTTCGATGAATAGATGAACGTTAAACCAATATTTACTCACATACAGTAGAAAATGTTTTCTCTAATCATCTGCTCGAAATTTGAGGTCCGATGCTTAAAAGAGATACGCTATAAGTCAACCCTATCTCATTAAATCTATTAAATAGTACAAATTAATCTAAATCAGTATCGCTGATTAATCAAAAAAATGCAAAAAAAGAACCGCCAGGTTCAACTGAAAAGACAAATGAAGTAGGGTGACTCCAGGATTTTTCCAACTCTAATAAATGCTCTGGTCATATCCAATGAATTACAATACCTACGTAAAAGATGAAATTCTCACTTTACTTCATCTACTGGTAATACTGGGTAAGATTAAGTGATATTCACTATTTATTTCTGTGGCTCACCATGAATCCGGCAACACAGTGACATTAAAGTCATCGGTGTCTTGAATTGTAAAGTATGAGTATTAGGATAAGCAAAACACCAAATGGAAGTTATACGTATGTACGCTGTGATGTAAGCAAATTATCACAATATAAAAGGGGACCAAAATCGGCTCATCCAACAGAATAATCTCAGCCAGCAAGATGTTCTCGCTTTAACAGATCATGCCTTCAGATGGTTCTTAAGCAAATTCTTGATCAAACAATTGCATTTTTGGTTAATATTATATCTTAGTGTAGATCAAACCAGAGCAATAACTAAAGCCCTACCTCGCGGGATGGCATGGCGGCGTCGCCGATATCCGTAGCCAATCTAGCCTGTTGAAATATAGATTTTGGCGTTCATCGCCTCTATTAGATTAGATTGGCTACGGATGATGTCGACGTCCCCATGGCGTCCGGGTGAGGAAGGGATCTTAGTCTAAATAGAAATTTCGCGCTCTAAGACACTAAAAAACAAGATGTATTCGACTCAATAAATTCCTGAACCATCCCTTTGAAAAGTGACTACCAACTATATAATGTATAACAGTAGCATCTGTGCATCAGGATAAATATACGCAATGCAACATTATTTATTCTATGGCAGTCTGAAGTGGAGACTAAATAGAATATGAGATGTTTGTTACGTACTATCTAAAAATAAATAAGTTATTAAAATGAAATTACCTGAAGGATTTCATTTATTCTTAAAGGACAAATTCAATGAATTACATCTACGGCATATTGGTATCTACAAGCAATATAAAGATTTACACATTTTCATTCACGTCCTTTGCATATACGCAATGGTTATTAGATTTTGTAACAATTTTCAACGAGATTTCAAACTGAAACAACTCTTCAAGTGGAAATGCTGAAATCAATTCAATTATATTTTGACTTTCCACTTATAAATGCGTCTCAGAATGCCGATAACAGTTTTATGCGATACATTTTACCTAAAATTACAAAACTCAATAACCACCGTCTAGTTCAAACTTCGTCGTGTGATATCCAGCTGTCAACACAGTACAACAAGAACCTTTGAGATCAAGAAGTCTAATAATAGAATGTGTAACTCTTGATTAGTCTTCCTGCCAGGATTCCAGCTGTATACCACTCACTTAGATTATTTTATTGCTTGTACTTTCTATTTTTCCATCAATCATGAACAAATGTGTACAATCTATGATAACATCCAATTCTGTACATTACATACACCATAAATCTATCTAAAATGATTAAAATCGCAATGTACAATGAATCTCATGTTCATAGGTAAATGTATATGTAACATATGAGTGTGAGTATCCAATGCAAGAATTTTATTTTCGAAATTGAGAATAGAACTGGACATCATTTCACTTAAATGAATAGGGAAATATGTAAAGTAAAATATTTTTTAAATAATGTCTTGCATTGAACAAAAAAAATTCTCCAAATCTCAAGTATTAAGTGCCGCAAAGTGTTCCAAATATTATGTCAGAATATAATATAAATCTTTACTAGAATGTGAGAATCTGTCTAAATATTTTTATAGTTCTACAAAGTTTGCTTCAAGATTGTTTTTCAATTAAAATTCTCAAACTAATCCTGGATATACATATCAACAAAAGAAAATTAAAGTTAACAGACAAATAACATAATTATGTTTCATACAGGAACCAGCAACAATTGTATTGCGACAAACTTACGATTTCTTTGTCTAAAACTACTATCAGAAGCGTTCGAAAAATTAATGAAATGAACGATGCTACCTGTATCACACTATATCATAATCAATATATACGATGTGACAGAGATTTGGCAAAAACCCGACACTTGTAGATGAGTTTTAATCCCCATGCTCCGTCCCTGACCTTTTTGCAGATCGTTATTTGATGAACGTTGGTGACAGTCTAAACCACAGAACTTAGTAGGCTACGTATATAAAATATTAAGCTTATATGCCAAACTGTTTAGACGTGTTCCTTTTTGATACATGTGTGACAAGGATTTTAAGAGAAATGGATGTTGTTTGGCATAATATCTGAAGGGTATAGTGAAACGCTGGTGTCAGGACTTTCGAGTGAGAAAAAATATCTTCTTATCACCAATATGGCATTGGACCGCCTGTAACGGTATCGACTGACCGCAACATTACAACAGTGCATAGGATGGTGTTGTAATGCAAAAATGGATCATTAGAAAGGCATATTATGCAAACTTAATCTCAAAATTAAGGACAAACGTGAAGGTAACAAATGGCACTGTTTCATCAGAATAATGATTTCAGCCATGCTTCTTGCATTCCCATGGCTGCACTCTACCAGGCCAGGCCTTTATAATTTATAATATTTCCAAAATTAAAACAAATTTTTTACCGTGAGGCTATTAAGATACTGCAACAGGGTCGGGTATAATCGGTAAGCAAGTACGCACAAAACTCTGAAGCCGGTAAGATACTGGAGCACTGTTTAAACAAGAGCAATGATGTTAGGGGGAATTAAATAGACAAGTAGCAAGGGGGTCAGGGATAGAGCGTAACGATCAACCTACGTATACTAAGCTATCGGCAAAAAGACCAAGAGAAAGACACGTGGCATACGTCAGCTATTTTTTCATATCTAAATGTAGGAAAGTATATACGTATATCAAATAAAATGAGTAAAGTGTATGAGATGGCTTCTGATCGTAGCTACAGGTATCCTTACAATAAAAGTTCAACATATTTACACCCGTTTCCATCGAATGTGTATGCCTAAATGAACGTTCTTTACAAGAATACACTCAATATGATTATCAATATGACGAGAGCTACTACGAGGCAGATTATGATCAGGATCTTTTTCTGGAAAAAGAAACGGAAAAAATAAATAAAAACAACTTAAACGGTTGGTATGGTTATGTGCGTGTGTGTGTGTATACCGATTTTCTTATTGACAGATATAAGCATGAATATTCTACAATGGTGTAAGAAACGAGAATATATTTAGAATTCTGTCAAGATCATCAAATAATATTAGATAGATTGATAATACTACTTATATTTGTCTGACTTATTAAGTTTGAATGAATGTGCTCATAACTAATGAAAATAAAAACGAAAATCGAGTATATTTTGGTTCGTATAGCATATAGCAAAAAATTAGGTGTTCAAGCGTTACATTCAATTTTTATTTATAATAGAGCATCGCTACTTGAAATCTAACACCTGAGATGTCTCTCTACTATTGTACACAACCAAAATAACTTTTGGAGTAAACACACGCACACATCTACGTGATAAAATAAACGAAGGAAAACATCGAAAAATCAAATGGAGAGAGATGACGAATACAATATGTATTATTGCATGAAGTCCATGAATTAAGGGTGAGGTCTTTTAATACACCTACGAGGAATGGTTTTTTATTTAGTTTCACGGAAGTTGCAGTCATTTTAAAAATCCTACGTTATTGACACCAAAATAAAGAATTTCATTAATTCATTATTCTACCAGTTATGTATGGACTAAGTAATTAATTTATCATGTACGGAAATATTGACTCACCTATAACTGCAAACGTTTGTCAATCGTCAAAATTACATAATTTTGTTTCCATCTCCCGTTATATATACGTATAAATATATAATCTCGAATTTAAAAACAATCCCTCAAAGAATTTGAACGAAATAATATTTTATAATATAATGTACTTGTCATCTTCTAGATAACAAATTTTAGGCAAATAGAAAATGTTTCTTGCAAGGATAAAGACTTATCCATTTTCATATCAATCCTTTGACATAACAAATATAATACACGTAAAATTAAACCTGCAAAATTTTGAAGACAGAGAGAGGAATCTTTAAATGCACCTAAAATCTTGTATTCATCTGATTTGAGTAAGCACAAACCTTGTTAGTTTCCTCATTTATACTATTTTGTAAATGTCCGCAAAGTTGGGGTTTTCCTTCACACGACGTGTAGATCTTGAAAACATAAGCAATTTTTCTTAGTACCATATACACCAATGTCTTAAGGGAACCGAGATAAAGGGCTCTGCAACATCAAAAATATCTGAATACCGTCCTGTAGCCGCGACATCCCTGAGTGGTACTAGGACACTAGCTCAACCCGACGACAGAACTGAGTCGGGGTCAGTGTGTCAGGTCAGTATGCAACCTTCAACCGACGGTTACGGTCACGCGTGTAGAGGTAATCGCATAGACGAGAATCCCTCAACAAGCACTAGAGACGTGGCTAGAGAAGTGCAAGTATCAAAAACTAAAGTGTGGCAGACGCTGCGTGAAGAGGGGCTGTATCCGTTTCACGTCCAACGTGTACAAGCCCTTCAACCTGACGATTTTCCAGTAAGAGTGCGGTTTTGTGAGTTGTTGTTGCATCAACATGACAATAATCCGGACTTTTTTGAAGTGCATATTGGTGACAGACGAATCTACGTTCACGCGTAATGGGGTGAATAACTTTCGCAACACTCATGTTTGGTCAGTAGAAAATCCGCACGCTGTCCGTCGGGCACATTTTCAACAAACATTTTCGGTGAATGTTTGGGCTGGCATGGTGAACGGTATGCTCATTGGACCATTTATTCTCCCAAATCGATTGGACGGGATGCAATACCTAGACTTTTTACGCAACATTTTGCCTTCCTTGTTTGCCTGCGTCTGCTCGGTAGCGCATCAGCTGATTTCATTTTCTGTTGGAGCGGTATGATTTCGGGCAGAGACGTACTTAGCCCTTCTCGTCAACTGGAGAGTGAGTACTTTTTCCTTTATTTTTTTTTTTACTTGGTCGCCCTCGTTTCACAACACATTACCTTTGTTATTTCAAGGGTAGTTGTTTCTGAAAAGGAAAACCCCAACTTTGCGGACACCCTGTATTGCAAATGTAAATGTATAGCTTTGGAAAATACAAAAATTGTGGATACTTGAACTTTAACCTTATTTGCCATTTAAATCTATAACTCAGTTATGACAAATGCCAAATATAGCTCGACTTCATTCATTTTGCGTGTACTAAATCTACTGTTGTTAGAACTTTCTGACAATGAAACGTTCTCAGTTTTGTTTTAATGCAGAGATACAAGAAATGAGATTTGCCTAATCATTTTTTCAATCATATAATTGAATTATAAAGTAAATCAAGCTTTAAAACTACAGAGTACGTAACTTGCTTAGTATTTCATTTGATTATATAGTTCGTTCCAGTTTTGGATCACTTGTAAATGTGCAATGCACAAGTCCGTTATAGAACATTCATAAGAGAAACATATTCTGATTACCTGGATACTAAGAGAAATATCACCAGCAACCGAAGCGTATACACATATAAAAAATGGACAAGAGGCAATTGCAGATGAACACCACCTACCTTCCTAGCTTTGCTCTGGTACTCCTTGGCGGCCTTCAGTTCAGTACCACCTTGATGAATAAACGTCTGAGCTGTACCCACGTGGTACTCCACTCTGTCTATCAGCTCTCCCTAGGCCATACAGTGGCATGTCCGCGCGAGGGATAAGGGAAGTAAGGGGTGGGGGTACAAACAACAACCAACACCGACACAGTAATATATACATAGTTAGTACCGAGAGAAAACAGTGACAAAGGCACAGAGAGTAGTTAGTTTAAGTTAAATAGTGCAAAGCAAAAGTAACCATAAGGTCAGCAGAAGGAGTAGGGTAGGGGTAAGGTAGAGAAACAAAAAAATACTCAATATTAATAAGCGTCTGACACATATGTATACTTAGAGGTAAAAAAGAGCGACTCACCCGCCTGGCACGGCTCTGGTACTTCAAAGCCTTTTTGGTGTCTTGGGTTGCCGTTTGGACATAGTCCACGGCATGTTCCACGTGGTACTCAATGCGATCTATCATTTCGCCCTGGAAGATTAGCACGAGTGCCCAGCGGGAATGGTAAGGGTTAGTTTACCGTCAAGCACAGATCATGCAGTTTTATGAAGGTCAAATACTTAACCAGAAGTACTATTACTATCTATATAGTTACGAACCCCGTCTTCTTGAAAAATTTCTAGACGATACTGTACATCAGACGGACTTCTTATTTTAAGCTGAACATGATGTTTGTTTTCCGTCTCTTCTACTACTACTAATAGGTCTATTGAAAAACTCAATATGGTGATGTGCGGAATATAAACCAAAGGTGATACGCCAACTATAGGTACTTTCGCCATCGAAGCTTTACCTTACGCTGCCAGCAGGAAACTACACTCTCCAGGCATTTATGAATGACAGCATTTGCTTCAATAGAGCCAAACAAAGGATCACCTACAACATAGACATCCCATTACTCGTTAGGGAGGAACTAAGTATCCACCGTGCTACAAGCATTGACATTCTATCAAAAACTTGCATAAAAAGTATAGGACTAGGGCTTAAACCGTGCTAATGATTGCTAAAAAGTATAAAACAAAGTTATACACGGTTGGTTGTGCTCGCAGAAACGGAAAGCCAACATCCTATTTAGCATGTGTATGGTTTATGCAACTTTTGCGCAGAACCTCAGTGCTGGTAGCACTTTGGGTACTTAGAGCCGTGTCGTCAGTCATTTCTACAATTATTATTGTAGGACGTCTTTTATGGCTTTCTGGATTTTCATAGTTTTTTACTGTTCCATGTCAGCGCTCCATTTTGAGGTTATGTCACAAATATCTCTTTGCATCAAATTGTTCACGCTTTTGATTTGTATCATCTGCTTTACCAGTCTAACTTTTTCTACAATTCAATAAGAAAACATAACGTCATAATAGGAAAGCGCTGAGCTGACACGGAAGAGGTGAATTCTAAAAATATCCTAGCCTTTATGAAGGAGAGAAAAGACTATAACAATCAAGGAAGCCATAAAGGCGTCATACAATTATTGTAGGCACAATAGGACGCTTATGTGGTAGGTGGGACTTCCTATTTGTGCTCTTGATTTGTGATCTATGAGTCGGTGGAATTGTACCCATATTTTGAAGTATCTTGCATCAACAAAGTCAAAAACTACGGTTCAGTTCGGGTACAAAATTCAATGAGAGTATCAAGTGAAGGTGTAACACTTGTTCATACTCAAAGAGAAAACTACGTCTATGCACGTTGTGCCGTGTATGCAGTATGACGAACTAGAAATGATTCATTTAGATATAACTATTTGTGCGATTCTTGAATGAAAGGCCACAACAAACTCTGTGAGTGTTAGCGTCACTTCTCAAGCATAATTCATTAACTTTTGTAAGATGTATAATTCGAACAGTTTAATTTTTACAAAAAATCATCCAAAAATAGACGCATTAGTAAATCCCTAGTCTAATCATTGAAGAGCTAATATCCATTTTTTGATGCAGATTCTGACAATGTTTTCATCAAACAAGACACTCCATTTATTTTCGTTTTTTAATCATAAAAATAGAAGCAGGCGTAATACGTTTGACAACAAATGATTGAATTAGAACATCCGATCAAGACATACTTTTCATCTTATCCAGATGCTCAATGTAAGGATAATATTTTGAAATGGCAATGAAAAAAATAGTCTAATTGTTGCTAACGCCGCTGGGCATAGCGTTTAGGAACATCAACATCGCAAAAAACACCCTATATATGTACTAAATAAAAATTGTTAACCCAAGTATTTGTTAAAACATTCTGACACATCTACCCAATATTATGTATGGATCAGTTTCCATAAAACCCATAATGAACAAAGTATTAGTAACAGATAGATAGGTTGAGGGAAAGATAATAGTGGTGAACAGAGCGACATGCACTTTGCGTCCCGCTGGGACTTAACGAGATCTCCTGGGGATTTCGTCTCGCCGGTACAATTGCCAATTATAACGTAGCATTTTTTTTTATATCCAAGCGCATGATCGTAATTTTTTAGCAGAGTTATTGTTTCTGTATTTCAGAAGCAGACTGGTGAAAGACCTTTCGTGCAGTTTCTAATCAGAAACAATGTTATTCTGATACAAATTAAAAACAAAGTTGAATGATTTTTGGGTTTCGCCCACTAGAAAAAGGACATCTGACTCAGAATCAAAATATGTGATACCATAAGAGAGAGCTACAACATCATCAAGCAAATATATTGTTGGCATTTAAAAAGCAGACTTCCGTATGAAACCAAAAATGTGAATAATAATCCAATATCAACAGTCTGCTTCTATAACCTATAAGTAAAACGTATTATGTTCGTAAAAAGAGCTGAAAATGTGTGCAAGGAACTAAAACCATAAGATTTTTAAACGACGAATGAGCCGATATTGTTGAAGGTGTATTTAATATAGAATGTTTAACAAAAACACTCCACACACATATTCTCAACCTAAACGCACAACCATAAAATATTAAAAACTATTATCAGTCGTACATAGAAATAGGAAAATTACATAGCGAGTTGCAACGAATAACGAAACTGCTCACCACGTGAGAGTAATATAAAAGGGTACATGATGTAATCGAAACACTTCACGCAGATGTTTTCAGAACTTTGCCATGCTGGCGATTCTATTTCCTTAAATTGCACGCCCACTGAGGCGAAGCGACACGAAGAGAGCCCCACCGACATTTGTCATTTGTACATGTCAAACGTGACACATCTCTTCGATTCTCGTCGTTCCAGTGCGCGAATTGTCATTTGAGCAACTGTGAAGGAACCCAGAGGAAGAGTTGGAGTTTTTTCGCTTTCCTTCCCGTCAATGGGCGTGTAGCTTGAATTTTCACTTTTCACGTCATTCAAACCATTTATGGACAAAACTAAAGTAAGATATATTTAAAACCAACGTGTAGAGTTTAAAAACAAACACTAAAGAGGAACATGTGTTTTATATTTCTTTCTGATTAAGTCGATTTTATAAATTGAAATCAACTTTACTGGAAACGAATTTTAGAGCGTTTTGGGAATCGCAAATATTGCATACGTAGACATTAAAGTTCGTCTCTTTTGACATGATTTTCATGTAGAGTGAACATCAATTCAAGCTAACATTAACGTTTACGTTTATGGTATTTATGATTGCCAAAACCACCTATTTAAACTTGGATATATTTATTTCTAGCATATTATTAACACAGAATAAGGTGTTTTTGTAAATGTTCTACATAAATGCATTTAACTTCAAAGTAATAGTTTCCAACTTCCATCTACGATGATAAGTAATTTGTGTCTCAAGTTATCCATAAACTTAATAACTTAGTTATACAGGGTCTGCGCGAGAAGTGCTGCCAAATACTTTAACAAGCACGTTAGTACTTATTGGTACCGGTTGAGGGAAAAATTCACGAAAATTCGAAGATTTATATACTTACTAATCTCTCGAAATGTTCTCCTATGAACCACCACGTATGGAGTTGTAGCTGAGCAAATAGTTGTTTCATACTGTAGGCAGTATCCTAAATACAAGTGCTCCGCGGCTGCTATGAGGAGCTTTGGTAATCCGATTTTTGAGCTACTTAATGTTAGTCGGACTGGAAAAAGCTTCCTCAGATAGATTGTTCTACAGTCTCGATACCCTAGTGATAAAGGAGCGTTCGTATCGACCTCTTCTGGATGTCAGACGGGTCTGGAAGAGAGGTCTGAGGAACAAGTCCGTTGACATAGCTTAAAAGAGAGTTAGATTGCCGGCCCCCCATGTTAGTGCGAAAGGGTCACGAGACTATATGTTAGAAAGGTCATCGAACAGTCAAACAGTCCTCCTCTGAACAGTATCCTATCGAGGATGGATAATTTAGTCGGGCCGGCACCCTAAACATGTGAGCAGTACTCACCTCTAGGTATTATCTGAGCCTTGTACAGGAAGAGAAGCTCTTTGGTAGAACTAGGCCATCTATTGAAACCAGACGATCGTTAGGGCGCTTCCTGCTAGTCAAGGTACAGTACTGTACTTTTGAAGCATTAAAGTGCACCAGCGTGTTGCGTCCCTAAGCAGTGATAACCTCCAGATCGTCCAACTCACCGATAGAAATCAGCTTGACACTCTGAACCCCTGCATGTAGAATGCTGTCATCCGCAGATCTGTGGATCCGAATGACCGTTCAGGAAAGGAGGTCGTAGATATGTAAGAGGAACAATGTCGGAGCCGAGACCGATCTCTGACGAACACCCGTGTCGATATTGTGGGATAAAGAGAAAAACCCGTCAATAAGAACGGATATATTGTGGCCACAGAAGAAATCAGCCACCCATCTGCAAAGCTGCTCTGGAAAGTCATAGAGCAACGATATGGGATCCATCATATTTTTTTTTGCTGAGAAGGGGAACGGGAAAAAAGAAAACCCGCTGCATAGTTTAGGTGTGGGAACATGTCGATATAGTTAAGGCACCCTGGAAAAAGCTAACGGGTAGTACTGCCTCGGTCGACCTGTCCTTGTCTACCACCTTCTTTTTGGTTGTGAATGATGTTGGTGGACTTGTACGGGCATCTGACACTCGGGGTATTTAACGCGTGTAGAATCACTGTAACGGATGAATGCTGAGTGCAACAACTTCCGGGACAAGCATTTGCTCAGTACTATTGGGGATGTACTTCAAGATGGGTCTTATCTGAGGTTTGCACAAAGCGAGGAGGTTAGATGGAGAAAAGTACCTTCTAGTTCTAAACAGAAAACCCAACTGTTAAAATATTGGGTTTTGTTGCAACCATGACAAATTGACAGAACCTAGACATTCAACAAAACCGGATTTGCTGTTTGCTACCTATAATTAGTTGAGATACAAGTGAATCTGAAAATTTGCATTCCTGTGTTCAAGGCAGTGATCTCAAGATATTTTATCGAAGGGAAGCCGTAGAAATAGATGCAACACTCCGAATGTCCAAAGGTAAACTGCTGTTTTTAGCAAAATCCAGTGAATACCCCAACATATTGCAAAGCATGTACTTTTCGGGCAAACCCTGTAAATTCCCTCGTATCAGGCATACACAAATTGCCTACCTGATTCTCTACGAGCATCGCCATGTCCATGAACATATCGTGCAACTCTCTAATGGAGTTTTCCAACTTTATGATGTCGGCATGCCGCGCTTCGATGTCCGCCAGCGTTTGTTTCGCTTGTTGCGTTTCCATTATTATCTAGAACAAAACAGACATATTTGAAAGTTTACAGATTCATTTGCAAAAATGGAAACCTAGCTAATCTAGTAATAACCATGTATCTGTCTGCACTGATCGCTGTCCGATGACTTATATCGTAGTATAGATTTCGAAATCTAAATCTTACTTTGCCTATATACGTATAGATTAGAATTAAAAACAACACTTACACCTTGTGTAAACACTGCTGGATTGCCCTGTTCCAACATTTCTTCTAATTCCTCGTTAGTTGTCTGCCTACCAGCTGTAAATGAAGAAAATGATTTATGTAAGTACAATGTAGCATTTTTGCACATATACCAAAAGTCATCGACTGTGGGAAGTGAGACAGCGATGGAAGACCCTTTTTAAGCTTTTGCATGCATCTCATAAGCTGTTGACAATACATTAGTGATCTATATTAACTTTACAACATAGGATGTCATATACATTTATACTGTAAGATCAATACTTTAGAAGCTACAGGGTATCGTAGTTGATAAAAATAAAGCAAGTACATTTTTAAAAATACAAATAAAACAACTGCAGTAACTGAAAATACTGAAGATTTAGTTGTGCTATCAAGTCCACCATTTTGTTTTGATAACATTTTTGTATACGCAGTGTCACTCGCACTGTCAATGTAAATGTAGATACACCTCATATGTCAAGATATATCAAGCCATTTAAGCTGCACCCGTAAAATATAATTTCTGGGTCGATTTTTTTCATTAGAATCAGTAATTTTGTTTTTATAAGATTTAACATGGTCAGTATCACTTTTTCTACAAAGATCAATCCAACACCGCATATGTGAAAGTCCACCAAGCCATAAAATCAAAATTACAAGGTTGAATTTTTTATTCAAATCCACCATTTCGTTTTTATTAAATTTCAGTATAGCCAGTGCGACTTACACTGATAAGATGATCCGACAACACCGCATTTGTCAAAGTCCATCAAGCCCGTGAAATGGGAATTTCAAGATGGAACTTTTTTTATTAAAATCCGCCACCTTTTTATTTTAATAAAATTTACTAAATATGCACTAATATCGGAGCCCATCAGACTTAAACCACTTTCATACTTGCTCACTCAAGTATTACGTAAGCAGACTTTTCACAATTATTACCCCCCTCCACCCCCTTGTCAGCAGAAGTAAGCAAGTCTCTTACCCCTACCATGCTTACGTAAATATATTGGACCGTTTTATAATTTGAAGCATATTTTCTTTCACGCGCATGTTCTGAATATCCTTTAATATCTGGAAAATCAGAATCAATTTCCATTGAGCTCCATACCTCTGCTGAAACATTTCCGGCAAACTCGAAATTGGATCTTTCTAATGTTCAATACTAGTAAACATCATGAGGCATGTAATAAATATCTAAGAAGCCAGTTAGTTCCTGACTAACAAGTGCCATTCTGCGGTCTACTCGATTATTCGTATATCTACAAGGAGTATTTATAGCTAAGGTTCTAAGTCTAAGCGAATAAGCATGTCCATATTTGGGGAATCCCTGAAGATGCGTTTCGCTATCGAGCATAGACAAGCTGGGTTGCCATATACGTTATATCAGATAAATTTAGTAGATACTCAGAAAAAGTAAAAAAAAATAAATGTTGCTCAGTCCCGTTCCCCATGTCATCAAAAATAAGCCAAGCGCAGACTAAACCGACTTGACGCCATTTTTTATTTTTGGATGTGGGTCCTGCTCTAGAAATATTGCCATTAATTTTTGAACTACTCTGTATTTTGAGCAACAAATTAATTTAGTTTCGAATTCTTTAGGTTGATGCTCGCCACCATAAGGAACTATAAATTCCAAACAAGTAGTTAGGCAGCAGCATAATAGAGCATCGATTCTATCCCGCTCGGCAAGCGCATTATGGATGGATTTTAATAAATTCTCTCCGTTCGGAGGAGTGATGTTTATCTTCGTTTTGGCATACAGAATTAATGAATTGTAGTTGGTTTCTCGGTTTTACGTGCCCCTAAGTCTCTTCAATTGCGGAACGGGATATCCATTTGCATTCAACATTCGTGGCGCTGTCCAAGGTCGCAAGAAATTCTTTCGTGTTAAGGTATATTAGAAAAAATAAGGACACACGAAAAAAATGGCGTCGAGTAGGTTTACGCCGCACTTCCCACGTAGGAGTATGTTCAGCACAAGCTTGAGAAAAGAGTCAGGCAAAGACGTCTTAATCCATAAAATACATTCTTTCCCTGGCCTACTGGTAGTCTATATGGCAACGTCGCCTCTTCCCGATACCTAACCCGGTCACTAGTCAGACGCCCAGGCGCGGCAATAATACTAGAACACGTACGTAGATTGGCACGCCGCCGGGAGCACAAGCAGAAGCTGCCTATAGGTACGCGGTCCCTCTGCTGAGAATATTATTCTGTTTTAGGGGCAAATGAACGGGGGAATCTATGTGTGTGAATAGGTGTATATAATTACCAAGGTTGGAAGCGTATAAATATATTAATGTCAAAAAATAGGGATGTCCGTCCCTACTCCGGTACAACCACTATTACCAAATTGTATTGCCCATAAACTTTTGTTTTTGGCCTTTTTCTCCGCCGCCCCTGGATCGGTTTTCAGAAACTACAAAGCTTTTTCGTTCTTGGCATAGTAGTAATCTTGTGTGAAAATTTCATCCAGATCCGAACAGTACTTTCCGGGTTATAGGAGGTCCAAGAATTAGACAGTCAGGACCTACGGAAATGAGTGACTTGGGGTTTTTGTTGATGTACATGTCATATAACATTCAAAAAATAAACATTTTTCGCGGTTACAATATTTCATGTCAGTATGGAGTGAGAAGTGAAAGAAAAACGGAATCGAATAGATGTTAGTTACAAATAAACAATGCTTTCCATAAAGTTGCCCCCACATATTTTTTAATGAGTTAACAAGTTAGCTTAACATCACGTAATACAAATTTAGAAAATCTGTGGCTAATGGAATTCTGTCCAAAGCCAAACCCCCCTTCCCCCTCCCCCCCCCCCCCCCTACATACATACATACAAGTTCGCTTAGCAAGCTAAAATTTAGTATGATGGAATGATTGTATAAATACTTTATTTTAGCGTAAAAGTCACAGTCACAATTTTAAATGGCAAGCGGGGTCCCGTAATATCTCATTTTGAAGCTTCTTATGAGCACTTTATAAAATCAGAATTTTTCAAAATAGCGGAGGGGTGGTCTCTCGTAGTTTAGAGCTATTATACACGGTATTGTTTACCCTTTGAAGATTCTCCAAAAATACTGATCAACTTCTGAACATCATAACTTTTTATTTTCAAATATATTTTGACGATTTTTTCGACAGGTTCACTTATTGATTTGATTTGCATATTTGATTTCACGATAATTGCCTCCGTTTGATTTACTTAACAAGATAGATCAAAATTATATTTTATTATAATACCTCAACTTTGATTCATACTGCACGTCGAAATAGAAAGTTTTAGAGATAAACGAACTTTTGACCATCAATTTACCCTCTTCGTTTGTAACTTGTTCAAATTCTCGTCCGAATCCAAAATATGTTCATGAAATTGTAAAATTAATTCTCTTTCGGTATTACGTTCAAGTTTTTTATATCGACTTTAATTTTTCTAAAGCGTTAAGGAAAATGATGATCAACATTTTACGGCACCTGTTTTTTTTTTGTTGCATTTTCCGTTAGTTCTGGATCTACTATAGTTTTTTCTAAAATGTATTTTTTTCAAAAAGTAAGCTCAATACACAATTAGAGGTCTAAAAACAAAAAAGCATAAAACGTGTTTTTGTATTTACGAAAGGTCAGACACGCACTTACAGGCATCTAAAAAATCTGACTTATAATTTAATCTTTATTATCTCAATTGTCCACTGTCCTTGGTTAATCAGAATGATAACAAACGTACAAAACCAAGCGAACATTGATTCGTACAGAAAGGTAAGGAAAAACTTTTCAGAACGACAATTTACCCTCTTTCTACCAAATTCAAGTTTCATGAAGCATTATGGAAGAAAATAAATGTTTCCAAACAATTAAACTATACAAGTTATACAGTTTAAGAAGTTTCATTCGCAGTTTGAAAAGTTTATCGAAGTAACACGGGCCTATGGTACAGCTTAATCAATAAAAAGCTCGGCAAATTACTTCCGAAAGAAATAAGGATTTATTTGCCTCAAATAAAAAGTGGACATGCCAAAGACAGATAGAAAAGACTTTTTATTATTTTCGAGGAATTGGAAGAATATACGTGGGCTCGATTAGATCAGTAGTTATTTTCTTTCTTGTGAACTGGAACTTTTTATATTATCTCGAAATTGGATGTAGTTAAACATGCCATTTGGACGAATAATGAATTAGTAGAAGACCCGAAATAGAACCGACCTTCATCCATTTGCTTAATATACAAAAATCATTTCATATTAAACTTAGGCCCAATTTCACAAACAACAGTCCGTTAAAATGTTTGATTTTTGAATTAAATTCATGTTTTAGTTTCTATTGTTGATTTTTTATTCATGTTTATATTATTTTCTTCACTTGATATGTGATACTGGGTGTTTTTTCCTATAAACCTCTTGCAGATAGCCATTATGCACCTACTTGATGACATGCCAAAAGATATTGCTCGTTTCCAAACATTCATTCATTTACTTGCCGTTCATCAGAACCATTATGGCACCTTAGATTGATATTCCCACAAAACCATTCATGTTTTTTGATATTCATACATCCATAAAGTTGAATATGTTTCGTTGTTCAGGAACTGAACAAACATTCACACTATATTCACAGCGATTAAGAAATTCCCAAATATATGCCTTAAAGCTACCAGCAAACCTAAAACCTGCAAAAAACTACAAATTTGCCATATTTTTCTTTTTTCACGAGTACATTCTAGGTTATATTTATATTAGACACTATTTGAATACAAGCTGATTATTGCATTTCAAGGAGTGATACATGTGTGGGATCTGTCAACTCTTGGTACTAGTCACAAAACATATTATACTCTGAAGGTTTAATTCCATGCCATTCAATGACAACACGGTGACTTGTGTGGTTATCAGCGGCCATTTTGTGAGGGTGCGACAGGGTTGCCAGATTGTGCATTAATATCCCGTTTCACCCTCCTGGTCCCAGTGGAGTAAGTTCCGCCAACTGTTGAATTATACTCTAGTATGCTTTATAAGACTATTCGTGACATTTTTCCCAAAATCATTGCACAACACTTGAAAAAATGCAAATGAAAATTTA